TTGCCAACAATCACCTCCGCAGAGAGAGGGAGCAGAATTAAATCTCCTAGTGCAATATGGCACAGAAGCCAAAGCCAAAATGATATAATTGAAATCCTTTTAAGTATTTGCTCCATCTGGAACAATCTAAACCTTCTCCAAAGGTGAAATCAAAGCCAATTTGGCAACCGATGCACCCAAAGGTACAAAATATACAGGAGATTTTGCAAAATAATAAAATAGAAATGTCCTTATTAGACTAACTAAAAATGAATCAATTCAATTAAAAGAAGTAATTATTCATTAAAAAATAATTCATTTAAAATACCTGTTTTTATATTACTTTTTACATGTTGCAAAGAGCTCAAACATCTCTTTATAATGGCCCGTGGCATCTTTTGCAAAGATCCATAGCAATGTGAGCAAACCACTGACCTCCAACCGACTGCAATAGCTTTACAGTCCACATTGATTCTGCTCTCCCCCTCTCCTCCTCTGCCTCATTATCACTCCCTCCCATCCGTTTTTAGCCCCCTCCCCCCACATTTTTTTAACCATCCCCTGTGCTTAAATGGAATGGCTGACAAGCTGTGTGTCCTCTTTTTGAGTCAAACAGGTGTCCACGGGGGGCACAAGACCATCCGTTGAATGATTAGAGACCGCAGTGACAGAAAGTTATGGTCTCACATTGTTGAATGCTAGTATTTGAGTTTTACTATTATTTTATGAGCTTCTTTATCAAAAGCTGAACAGAGTAAAACTTAATCAGTGAATATTTAAAAGTCAGTTTTCTCCTAAAACTTAATAAAATCATGTTCGGATGAAAACCAATATCAGAATGGGTGTTCAGAGCTTTTAAATCTCGAATAATATTGTCGATCACAGACATGTCGTGCTGAAATAAAATGCAAGCTTCAAAAACAGCCTTTTGTTCCTAAATTGTAGAGACATTCTCCTGCATGGCAGCTCTTATTCACCGCTGAAGGATGCGCAAAAGTGATCAGAATTACATTCACGCTCAAAGCGTTTGAATGAATGTGTGAGCGTCACCGAATGATTGTTGGCCTGTCGAGTGCACGGGCACACGTGTGTCCACACGGCATGAGTAGCATGTGCACACTCATCGAGCTGTTGACCTCAGCGGGGCATTACGCAGCCACAGATAATGAGCTGTAACGTCCTATTTCATCTTTCTCAATAAGGAGGAGCAGAGCAGACACCTGAGGGCCTAAAGGTCAAGGAAAGCAACTCGGTCTGAAAAGAGATAACACAATGCAGGCAAGCAGGTAATTATCCAGACAATCATAAATTGAAGGAGAGCTGATAGAGTTTCACTGCTTTGGCAGCATGGAGGTTGAATTTAGTGTTGCTGGAAAGGAACCATTAACTCTTAGAGGGTGCTCACCTCTATGGGACAGAGAAGTACTGGTCCCTACAAAATGCTGTGCACCATTTAATGGCTTTTTTGTTATAGGAATCATTTGCCCAAAACGTTTTCTGTCATTAAAATGAGTAAGGAGTGAAACAGTGCTCTCTTCTGACTACATCTAGATAACAAACACACACACACTTTTTTTTTTATCCTCGTGGGGACTTTGCATTGACTTGGATTCATTTTCCAGTCATTTCTCTGACCCTTTACCAGTGGTGGAGAAAGTACTCAAACACTGTACTTACGTAAAAGTACAGATAAACAGACAAACATGTACACTAGTAAAAGTAAAAGTACCACATTAACATTTTACTTCAGTAAAAGTAAGTAAGTACTTGCTTTTAAAAATACTTAAAAATCAAAAGTAAAAGTACTTGCTTAATGTATTCCCTAATGGTCTACAATATCATGAAGTGTGCCTACAGTATGTATATTTTTAATACATCAATGGTGCCATTTTAGTGAACAATGCTGCAGATAATACATGTGACACTGTTCACACTTAGACTTGTGATTTTGTGCATCCTCACAGATTGTGACAACAGCTACAGAATCTGTAAATTCACCACCAACGTTCTTTATCAAATCTCAACAAGTCGTTTTTTGAACCAGTTAACTTGAATACGTCTTTTAAATAAGGCCACAAGGGGCGCATTTCCTCCGTGGTGGAATCCATTGTGGGCATGCTGCTGCTGCTCTGCCCTTTTTTTTTTTTTTTTTTTTTGAAGGATGTTCTAATGGTACTTTCTTGCTTTGCAGTGGTTCAATGGACAAATTACAGCAAATCCCCTCTCACCATTGATTACTTTAAAATAAACAAACCAAAAAAAAAAAATTAAAAAAAGCAATATGATGTGACATGAATGTAATTTGTAATTCAACACATCACAGAAATGTAGTGGAGTAGGAAGTACAGATACTTAATGTAAAATGTAGTGGAGTAAAAGTAAAAAGTACCCATGATGAAATCTACTTAAGTAAAATACAGATACATGAAAAATGTACTTAAGTACAGCAACAAAGTACTTGTACTTAGTTACATCCCACCACTGCCCTTTACTCTAAACCTAACCTAAATTCAATGTTGTTCCTAAACCTAATCCCCACACCTGAAATCCGTACCAGTGGGGACCAGGCTTTGGTTCCCATAAGGAGCACTGGGTCCCCACAAGGCTGTGTTTGTCTGGAAAATGGTCCTCATGATGTAGCATCCATCCATCATTCCATCCATTTTCTGTACATGCTTCTTCCTTTTCAGGGTCGTGTGGGTCACTGGTGCCCATATCCAGCAGTCACAGTGCGAGGGGCGGGGTACACCCTGGACAGGTCGCAAGTCCATCACAGGGCCACACATAGAGACAAACGAGACAAACAAGCATTCACTCTCTCACTCACACCTAGGGACAATTTAGAGTTATCAATTAACCTAACAGTCATGTTTTTGGTCTGTGGGAGGAATCCAGAGTACTCGGAGAGAACCCACGCTTGCACGGAGAGAACATGCAAACTCTACCCAGAAAGGCCCCCAGACCGGGATTTGAACCGGTGACCTTCTTGCTGAGAAGCATCAGCTCTACCAACTGAGCCACCATGCCGCCCCATGCAAGTACGCTTAAACATACAAACACACACAAGTTTGTGTTTTAGGACCATTCATTGACTTCTATTCATTTCCAATCATTTTTATATCCTAACCCTGTCCCTTTACCCTAAAGCTACCTACCAACCCAAAAACAGAATTCCATCATTGCAGGACCAGGTCCCCATAAGATCTACTGGTCTACAAGGTGTGTATACCAGAAACAGTCCTAAAAAGGTAACAAATACAATGTACAAGTACACACACATACACAGACACATTATTTTCTATTTCTTTTTATATTAATAAACACCTCAGGATATTTTAAAATGGGGTTATGTCAAAAGATTACAAACTGTCAGTATCTTACTTGTCATCAACAGCTCTTTGAAGAACCAAAGTATTGCTTGGTTCCGACCAAGACTAACGTGGATCAGAGTCTTAAAAATGTTGTAAAAATTTATTTGAATATTGTTTTATGAAACTTTACATGACCTAAAGTTTTTACGAACTACTAAGGTTAAACACAAGCATGAAAAGCAGCAGTAGCAGCTAGTTGTAGCACCTTTAGGTCAGCCTGATTTCTACCAGGAATATACAGCATTTCTGTGGACATGACCATGTAATACAAACGTATTGGCAATGTAGAGGTTTTAAAAAGAGCATCCGTATGAACAGGAGTTATTATTTTAGATTGAAGTTTAGGTCTTGGTCCCACTTGGACTAGTCAGTGGCTCATCAACCCAGAGAGAACTTTAAAGTCAAGTCAAAGTCAAAAGTTAAAGTCAGCTTTATTGTCAATTCTTCTCATGTACCATTGGCCTACATGCAAGGGAATCAAAATTATGTTTCTCACCATCTCAGTTAAGATATTATTTGTTCATATGTGTATGTAAACAAAACAACCATTTCAGAACACAACAAAAACTTAATTAAGCATTTCTGCTTTTTGCATTATTCTTGGTCTACACAAAAACTAGTATTTCAGCAAAACCTTGTCATAATTAATATCATGTAGTAGCTGTTCTATGATTTTGAGATGGACGTTAAGAGAAAAATATCAGGACAACTGTCATCATTTTGTGTGCCTATGTCAAACAGTTCTTTGATGTTTTAGCCCCTTAAATGTTGTCAGGACCTGTCACTGATAATATGAATGATGTATCTTTTCACAAGGGATCACATATGAAACAATGTGATCACAAAGGAACACATGGCAATGCTGAAAATGTTCCAAAACACAAGCACAACATATGTTTCACGTGGTAATTCAACACATTTTTATATGCAGAAATGTTCATGCAGTTTTCTGTAAGGAATCTGTAAAAGTTGCCAAAAGTTTGACAATATGAGCATTATATTTAGCAACAAACTAACCATTGATTGAGCTCCATTAGTCTCATAAAAGAGCTTTTAAATGCTTAAGCTGATTCAAATTCTACCTTTTTGCAAAAGCTAATGACATGTGGGCGTACCTCCTTCAACCTTCTCTTCAGAACATTGCGGGGCCCACTGATGGTCAGATGCTTCTGGAGCTAAAAGATCTTGACAGCTGATTTGGCTCCAACCGCTGTGCTCCACCTGCTCTGAGCTAACACGAGGAAACATGTCACGGCTGGGTAAGTGTGAATTGAATCTGGCTGCTTGAATCCAATAGAGGCCCCATGCAGCCAAAGTGATCCACTAATGTTTTGTTCAGCTTAATTGAGCGTTGTCCCTTCAACTTAGCCTCACACCTTCATCCTGCATCTAAAAGCCATGACTTCCCTGAAAGTCTAATTGCTTTGCTGGCAAAGCTACAACAGAGAAATATAAAACTTTAGGATGGCACGGGAGGCAGGAAGTTATGATGAAAATGGAACACTTACAGATGGAAACTTTTATTTTAAAATTTTCTATGAAAGTAAGCTGATACTGAATGAAATGTATTGGCCCAGGAATGGTTTTGTAACAGTAGACTGTCCAACAAACCAACAAAACTTTTATACGCATTCATTCACTTCCATTTACCTGCAGAGAGCGTCCTGACGGCAAACCCTTCGTAGCTCCAAACAGTTGGGTTTCTCCTTATCTTTATAGGAACAGTCAGGCACTATAGTCTGCCTGCGTCTCTCGGCGCAGCCCTCGGTCTGACAGGGGCAGAAGAGCAGCCGGTGGCTGAGATCGGCAGGAACACGGTCCAGGAAGGACCTCAGCGCCTTGTGGCAGCGCTTCTTGTTGCAGGTGTCTCCTTTGTTCTGGTCCTCCTTGGTGCAGGTGGAGATGAAGTTGGCGCGGTGCTTTTTACAGTTGTTGTTGAGGTTGCAAGCTTTGGTCGCATCAAGGCAAGGGTTGCAGACTTTCTCAGCATCGGGACAGCTGAACCCTTTCGGGGCCAGAGTGAGCATCCCTAAACGTGAAGAAAGAAGAACTTTGTGACTTTAGAAGATGTACAGGGAAAACGTTTTTCTATGCTTTTTTTCATTCTCTAAATTCTTGTCATTGGTTAGTAGGAAGCACATGTTAGGAGTCCAAAATGAAGCAATTACTGCAGCTTTAGGTAAAAAACAACAACTGTGTGTGGATGGTATAATTCAGGAGTCTGCAGCCTGCGGCTCTGGGGCCACACGCAGCTCTTTAGTCCCTCTGCTGCGATTCTTTGATTCTTTGACCAAATCTAACATAAGATTACATTTTTTAATGCAAACAACAGAAAAAAAACAAGCTTTCACAGTTTTCTTGTTAATTGTTTTTTGCAAATGTGCTCAAAAATACAGAGAGTGAAACATGTTGATTCGATCATGCAAGTTGGCCACTTCAGTAATCCAACTTCCAGTCTTATAGTATGATCTTTCTTTCAAATCCATCAGGGTTACCTTTAAACGGCTTTTAGGATTAAACTAGATAATAATAAGAATTAGAAAAATATATATGCCTGCGTAGTTCATTTGTTGTTTTATTAAATTTGGTAGAAACTAGTATTTTTTTGTTTACATAAATATGAACTTTTCTTTTGTCCTAGTGTGAAAATAAAAAATAAACGTTGAAATTCACTCTGCATTCTTCAAGCTGTCACTTTCACAAGCTGCAAAGGCCCACTTTCAGCAAACTTGAAGTGGCCCACAAACCACCAGTTGATGATCACAGTTGTAACATGTTTTGCAACTCCGGAAACATTTTATTAATGAGCCAAGGAGCAGCAATGGCTCTTCTGATTGTAAAGGTTGCAGAACACTGGTTTAAGTGAAACTGTATAAAAGCAGGTCATAACCTTTTCTTGGTATTAACAAAGTGCCATCTTGACATAAGTATGAAAAAAGAAAGACATATAATAAAAACATACAGTATAAAGACATATAATAATGTTTATCTACTAAAGTGAATGTCAGAATACAGGGTTTGATAGATGTCCTCCATTTGTGAATAGCACTGTTATCACATTTGCAGCTTTGCAGTTACATTTCTTCTTGATTTTAATTTTAACTATCTACTTTTCCATACTTTTCTGGAGCAACACAGTGAATTTTGCAGCTACTGACCTAACGTTTGATGTGGTAGTAGCTACTGTAATAGTCGTCTTGATGTGATATGTTCTCCTTGAATTAATAAGGCCTTTTTCTAATAAAAGATAATACGCAATCATCATCTGGACCAAATGATACGATTTAATTGAGTTTCTAATTCAACAACAGTAATATGTTGTAGCTTGGAAAGGTTTCAAAGAACTACAAACAATCTCTGGATCCCAGTTAACAAATTTATATTTACTATCATTGCTTTTCTGCCTCAAGCAGCTCTAAGCCATCAGCACAGGTATGTTCAAAGCCAGACTCCTCAGCTAACTACAACTGATATAATTTGTTTCAGCTCTTAAGTTAAACATGAAGAAATTATTGCAAAAATATTTTTGGGGCTGGACATTATTTTTTTTTATTTCCAGGGTAACAATTCTGTAGTGTTTAGTGTTGAACTCTAATCTGTTGACTGTGTATTTTATATAAAATCACAAATTCTTTATATTCTTTCTGAGTTGTAAAGAAATGTTATTAAAAATCCTTGAGTGTTTTCAAGTTGCTGTGCACCTCAGTTTGGGGGAAAAAAAGCTTTTTTCCTGAAATATACTGATAATAAAGCAGGATTATGTTCACTGTTGGCACTCCTCTCTTGTATTCAGGCTATATTAGAGAAGTTAACCTCCCTCCCCTGTAGATAATGATATTTCAGAGGTCGTGGCGGCCTGGTGACACTCAGAGAGATTCATCTCTTATTCAACAGAACCAATCTCCCTCTGTGTCTATCAGGCAGCCTGGAGCAGGAAGAAGACCATCTATTTTACAGAGGGGCTGTGCTAGAGACGTAGCATTGTTTCCAAGTGGTGCACTGCAAATGATCAATCGTATAAATGGAAGCACATCAAATTCCAACCGGGGGAAGAAAAAAATAGGCAAACCTTCAAAATTAATGACTTTGTGGTTTCAGATCAACTCAGAAAAAAAACAAAACTCAAAGCCTGAAGAATAACAAATTATCTGGAGTTTGACCTAAAGGAAAGAAAAACACACTTAAACTAGATTAATTTTAACCACCTCTTTTATTTGAAAGTACTTTGGTGCACAGGGTGTTGAGTGAATCGTCCTGATTCAGACAGATTTGTATTTCTTCAGAATGATTAAAAAAGAACGAGTTTAACTTTTTTAATGTTGTTGTAATATAGAGATTGTTGTTTATCACTGTACTTTCTAAGATTAGAAAGAAATCCTCCCGCAGATGTTTGGCAATGTGATACCCCCCAGTCTTGTTAATCTAAGAGGCTGAAAAGGCAAAATTAATTGTGTTTTTGTCATTTACTAATGCAATATTCAGAATCATCAGACTCCTTAGACAGACTGTGAGAGAATTAGGGCAGAAGGAGTAACTTGCTTGATTTGTAATTACAACAAGAACTGAAACAAGAACTGATTTTGGCACTGCGAGGTCAAGGGATGGGCCAAAGTTTTACTTAAGTGGGCTGAGCTAAAAAACAGGGCCAAAGGGGAGAGCAGCACAGTCCAGCTGGAGGAGCGGTTAGCAGGGCGACTGTCCAGTGGCTCAGGCAACATTACATTGATGGATTGCAGCTTCTGAATCTCCCCTGGCCATCTGCAGCTATAATGTGGGCCACTGGGGGGGTCTGGGATGAAAAGAAAATGGGAGAGGGATGAGCTCGTACAATTTATCTGACCAAGCTGGGCCGAAGCGCCTTCTGTGGCTGCAGCAAAGGATTGGGTTTTTTACTACTCTTGATTGGGAACCTAAGATTGCGTTTTGGTGCTCAGACCAAAAAGATGTCCTAGGGCAAACATATAAGACATAAAGTCGACTCGATGGCCCCAATGTTGCTGCGCTCTAATAGGATGGCATGCAAGAGCAGAAGGAGAAAAAGGACGGAGGCAAGGAGGCAGAGCTGGGGAGTGGAAATGTTTAGTATTGTGTTACAGAGTTGTAATTGATTTTCCAAGTGCATCACAATACAGGTCTTCATCAAACCTATTTGGCTATGATGTGCAGAGAAAGGGGGTAGATAAGCTAATGACGTTGGACATATAAAGATGGAAAAAAGCTTTAAGAGCAGAGGGAAGACGTGTGCAGTTGATTACAGCAGCCGATCCTGACAGATAGATGAAATGAGAGGAAACAAACAGATTGAATGGCCACTCACACAGTCATGCTGGAGAGCTTTCAATTAATGGAGACTAACTCGGGGAAAATGCACGGTGCACAGAATGATTAACACGACTCATCAGCAGCGCAATCAACAGCTCTCAGCATAACAATATTCTGCACCTATCTATAAACAGGCTGCTGGAGTGAACAAGTGAGTGAGGTGATGACTGAGTAAAAGGCTGGACAAGAGGGAAGTTCTGCTGACAGATTATTAGATGTTTTAAAGACATTTATTATGCAGGAAAATATTATGTTTTTATATTGTACCTGTTGGAAGAGGAGGTTGATAAACTAGTCAGGTCTTTAAAACTTTTTTTTTAATTGAAAAAATAAATAACAGCTACATCGAACAAAGCTCGTCATCAAATCTTTTTTTATTTATTTTTTCAGGTTTGATTTAATGCCAACAAAAAGTCACTTCACAGCACTGAAACTCTTTTTTATAGCTTCTTGTGCAGGGTTGTTACATATTGGTGCTTTTCCCAAGATTCCCTCTGCGTCCAGTTTTGGGGCGAAATCCATTGTCATCATTTCAGAAAGTGTAGAAAATGCACAAAAACTAATAGTCCTGAAGGAAATTTTGTAACTGATTAATTGAATGTTAGATGCACTTTTGGGTTTATATTTTCTGATCATTTCAGCCTGTAAGGTTAAAGCTGACAAAGACTTGGTGTTTGTCTTATCATGTGTTCTTTCTTTAGCCTAAACAAAAATGAGTTACGTTCTGACGTCTGACGTAAAAGGTAACACCTCCTGGGGTGTAACCAGGAAGAGGTGTACATTATAAGCTCAATTCGTTATTAGAGTAGGAGGCAGTTGTCAGAGGGTTGGGCAGGGAGTCTGCTCAGAGCAGAGCACCCGTGTTTGTTTTGATTCAGCCCAAGGTCGCACGCTGAGGCCTGTGCTGCTGAGTGCTGTATGAACCTGACTGGAGTCAGAAAACAGAAAAAAATTGTTTTGAAGAAGAAATCCAGCTGATTCCTGTTTATTCGGACATACCATTTTGAACAATGCATATTTCTTCTACAATTTGGTTACCCCAATGTGATGGATGATCTTGAATCCTTGAATCCTGTCTCTCACCCTAGTACCTAAAACTAGACACTACACAGTGGTAACATAATAACCCCCGCACGCACAAATGCACCAGAACTCAGAAGTCTTAATTCCTAATAAATGTCATGTTACCCATGCATCCCAAAATTGCAGTGGTTTGGGTGGACGGGGGGGGGGGGGTGCGTTGGTTGACCTGATGGATAGCCCCTCATCAGAGCTTAACAACAAAAGAAATCTGAAGCTCCTATGTTTAAAGGTTTTTGAGTTATAAGCATTTTTGCATGTCCAAACAACCTCTCTTTGAAAGGAGGCCCCTCCTCAAATATGGGGTCTATCGTAAAACCGTTAGCTGGTGCAGTGTAGGTCAGACTCATCTACAGTCCTGCCAAATTTCATGTGGATTGGGGCAGCCGTTTTTGTGCTACGGTTGACCAAAAATCTCCTGAGAAAAATTTTTTTTAAAAATTAAAAATAAACAGTACGAAAACAATATGACTCCCGCTTACGCTTCGCATGTGGGGGTCATAATTAACCATCAACCCTGATCCCTAAATTAACCATTTTTAGAAAATGTACAAAATTCATGTCAACTACGTGTTCTAAAGCCTAAAATTACCTAATATTCACCCTAGACATCCTATCCCTGACCCC